CTCGACTTGCTCCATCAATCACGTGGTTTAACATTAGAATAGTTCAAAGTGCATCATGGCAATCGACGTGATTCAATTAGCGTTTACCCCTCTTTTTGCACATTTTGGAGTGAAAGTACCCGGAGCCTACGAACACCAAAATCCGACCCTCTACAGGTATGTGTCAAAATGCTTCAGTGATGGCAAGAGAAACAAGAAAGTACTCATGAAACAAGGAATTAAAAAAAAAAAACTAGACAATCGCCAATAAAGAGTAATTTGAGAAACCGAAAGAAAATAGATGCACAGATACAAAATGAAACTGTCATCATGAAAGAATTCTAGTTTCTAAAACCCAGCGTCAGACTCAGGTTGGTCATTAGAACTGCAGACACGGCGCTGCTTACTCGGCAATGTGCTCTCCTCCCAAACGGGACACTGCACTGCCTACCTGGGAAGGGCGCGGAGCCCGCAGGACAGGGGCAGGAGCTCAGCGTCCAGCGTCTGTCACGCTGCGGATCCTGGAGGCTCTCTCTCTCTCTCTCTCTCTCCCCCCACCCCTCCCCCGTTCAGCACCGCGGGAGCTGTCCCTCAGCCGCCACCCTGGGTGGACCCACTCTGTTTCCTCCCCCTCCTGGCGGATTGGACCAGGAACAATAGGAGTGGGCGACCCCACCCCGCCCCCAGCTCCAGCGCAACGGGATCAATGCCAAGCCTCCCCATTGTGTTTCACAGCTAGCAGGGTTCTCGCCCGCAGTCTCCTCTTTCTCCCGTCCTCTACCTATCTGTCTTTCCCCCTCTCCCTTTCTCTGCTTTCCTCTCTCTGTCTGGCTGTGCCCCATCTCCTCCTCCCTGACCCCTCCGTCTCCTAACCCCACACCCAGACGGCCAGCCAGGCCCGTGTGGCAGTGTGCGCTGTGGTGTGGGGGCCACTGGAGGAGTTTCCGGGCTGGTGTGGCTGGGGGGGCTCTCTAGTAACTCAGTGAGGGGTGCCTGCTCAGGGCTCAGGGCCTTGGCCCTCATCAAGCTGTTTGTGTGAAGGAAGGCATGTTCAACAACATGATTGGGTAATAATAATAATATTAATTGCTTACACTTATATAGTGCTTTTCTGGACACTCCACTCAAAGCACTTTACAGGTAATGGGGTCTCCCCTCCACCACCACCAGTGTGCAGCCCCACCTGGATGATGCGACGGCAGCGATAGTGCGCCAGAACGCTCACCACACACCAGCTATCAGTGGGGAGGAGAGCAGAGTAAATGAAGCCAATTCATAGATGGGGATTATTAGGAGGCCATGATTGGTAAGGGCCAATGGGAAATTTGGCCAGGATGCTGGGGTTACACCCCTGCTCTTTTAATGACCACAGAGTTTTACATCTCATCCAAAGGACCGTGCCTTTTTACAGTATAGTATCCCCGTCACTATACTGGGGCATTAGGACCCACATGGTCTGCGGGGAGAGCGCCCCCTGCTGGCCCCACTAACACCTCTTCCAGCAGCAACCTTAGTTTTTCCCAGGAGGTCTCCATCCAGGTACTGACCAGGCTCACACCTGCTGAGCTCCAGTGGGCTGCCAGCTGGGAGCTGCAGGGTGATATGGGCAGCTTGTTCTTTGTTTTAAATGCACTTCCACACAGCTCTGTTGGAACGAGCCGGAGACCTGTGGCTAGGACTCTGCCAGCACTGTGGAGTGTCCGGCGTGCCACACGATGAATGCGCATGCAGGTGGAGGGGCAAGTCGGTCTGTGGTACACTTGTGGGTCACCTGTACCCAGGATTTCATCTGTTGTTCCTCAGGAGCCTAGTGTCCTGAAGTCACGTAGAGCTGGTGAGCGGCAGCACCTGTCATGTGACCCAGCAGGCTTCCAGTACTTCAGCAGGGGTCCCCAATCCCAGTTCAGGATAAGCACAGCTACCATGTAGCACTTCTTATGGGTCACCCCAAAATCCTTCATTTCTTAAGCCTTTTAAGCACTGATCCAAGTGAACCTATCCTGCTTGTATCAGGAAGGGATAGCTGTGTCCCCGGTCATATACAGGGTGCTGGTACTTTCATTTTTTAATTAATGAAACAATGGTGCATTGGTGACGCCTGCTGCCTCACTGGGTTCGATTCCAGACTGGGGTGCCTTTTGTGTGGTGCTTGCACGTTTGAACCTGCTCTCCACTGGGCTTTCTTGGGATGTGCCGAGTTCCTCAAAAAGACAAGCCAGATACAGAAGTCCCTGCAGCGGACTAGCATCCCGACTGGAGTGTGATCCCCACCTGTGCCCTCCTGCCCTTCCTTTACCAGCTGTCAGCAGACATCTCATAATGGATCGGCCAGATGATCTCTAAACTCCTTAACTGGTCAAAAACGATTGTTCCAAATGTGTGGAAATAATTGCGATAAGGGTGACCTGTAGGAACTGCTGATCTGTGGCTCTCCAGGACTAGGGTTGGCCAACCTCGTGTAACAGCTTCATTCTAAATGTGGGTCCTCATTCTCCCTGTGCAGTACAGGAGCTGCTGCCATGATCCGAGTCTTCAATTACTGACCATTCTTAATCCAGTGGACTGCAGACATAGACTGCAAATATGAAGAAATACAAGAGACAATGGGCAGCAGTGTCACCTGGGAGGGGAGGCCAGGATTTCAGGTTTCAGCATGAATCAAATCACTCTGCTTCAGTCCAGCCCAAGGCAATTGTTGTCTAGTGCAATTCAGCCAGTTGTTGTCTAGTGCTACCCAAGAAATTGAGTCAATTCCAGCTCTCGTACATACTTGAGCAGTACAGCCCATCTCAAGTCTAGGACAGCACAAGCTAGCAGAATTCAGCCCACCTCCGGACAGCTCAAAACCTGGCCTAAAAACGGACAGCACAATAATCCAGGCATAGTCCTGTGCAATCTTCCTGAAAGAGCACCCAGCATTGTGCAACACATCTCAATTAAATAATAAAAAAAGTTTATTATTGCAATCCGCTTACAGAAAAAAAAATGATGTGCACTTCTTTTCCTCACTCACGTCTTATCTTTAAGCAAAGGTGGACAACGCAGTCGGCTGGAAAAAGCTGTCCAAACGCAGAAGCAGAGAGCACACTCAGCAGACACCCAAGGAACATTCTACACATCAAAATCTTTTTACACACACTCACAGCGAAGCTCCATGTTTCCTCAAGAAGACCAAAAAGAGGGAGAAGGAAGACTGGGGCCGAAACGTTAGCCCATGGGACCAGAAGTCCCTCCTTTTGGCTCTTTATTTCCAAACTGATCAGGCAAAGCAGTGCTGGGAAGGGAGACGTCATCGGCGCGGTCCACAAAGGGGAGTGTACATAAAATAAACTGAACTGTGAACCGTCGCGTCGTCACAGTTTCAGAATCACGCAGAGGCGAAGGTCAAGGGGCTGGGCACTGTGGCCATGCCAGTACCCCCAACACCAGAAACACCCGGACCTGGCAAAGCGCAAACAAAGAGTCCACTGCTGCCAGGGAGGTCAGAATGAGACTGGACGTCCTGCAAGAGGATTGTGCCTCCTGTCCCCAGAGGAGAGGAGAGCTAGAACCCACTTCTTTCTGACTGACACTTCCTTCTGGGGGTGGAGACTCTGACCAGCTCCCTTACGGAGCATGGGCTTCATTTCTTTAAGCTTGGTTTTTATTTCTCTGACCTGCCATTCTGTTCATTAGAGGAACACAGTCCACAGGAACAAAAAGTGCTACAAAAGGTATTCATACTTATTATTGCTGTTCTTCACAAGTTACTACAGTTCACTTGCATCACAGAGGATACTGGTTGCCATGGCATTGGCTGGGGGTTGCCATGACGATATCAGGGGGTACCAGAGTACGCAGGGATATTGGGAGCAAAACTCTTCCCACAGAAAAGCAGAGTGCCTGTGGCTGCAGAGCCACAGGGGTGGGCAGAGTGGAGTGGTGTGAGGCAGAAAAGGGAGTGAAGGCAGAGGAGAGAGAGAGGGAGGAGTGGAACGATGCTGGGGAGGGGGAGGGCTCTGTGAGGAGGGGAGGGGCTCCGAGGGGTGGTCACATGGAGGTGGGCCCCTCTGACGCGCACTGGAGCTGCCTCTGAATCAAAGAGCGCAGGGCTGTGTACCTGGAGAGAGACAGACACAGAGAGTGGGCGTTTAACATGGACCCAATGTTTCTGCTGTGTGCTGGTAGTCACGTGAATGTGCGATGACAGACTGAATTTCTCCTTGTGGCCGAGCAGTGGACTGTCCAGATGATTGTTCAGCGTGTGTCATTTATCACACTGTTGCTATTAATGCCCAGGTGCAGTTGTGGGTCTTTTTTGCCTCTTGCTTTGCTTAGTTGTGAATTAAGAAGATGGAAGAGAGAAAGAAGACGATTTTTCTTGCAGTTTTTTTCTCTGGCTTGTCATTCTGCTTAATTACTTTCTCCAGAGTAAACCCAAACTCTAACCTGCCAACCATTTGCAATCGACAGAGCAGATACTGCATGTTGTTAGTTAGGGCCTCTTTCTTCCACACCATGTGAGCCTGCTGTGAGGTGTATGAGTGACTGGCTAGTGGATATAAGATTTGCTTTAACACTTCTGAACAAGGCTCAGTTAGGGCTTCAGGGAGCAGGACATGCAGTTTTTGCAACAAGAGCTCTATCTGGTGGACAGCTGTGGCACCACACCTGGTCATTCAATTCTATGTGGAACAGTGCTGCAGTATTCTGCTCTTTTTACTACACTGCAACGCTACGCTCCTGTGGCGTTCGATGCCACCCAGACTTTTATTTACTTACTTAGTCTTCAGTTTCTGCACCTCGCGATCCTCCTCCTCCTGCAGCTTGGCAATGAAACTGCGCAGCACTGGCATCTCGAACTTAATGTACTGAGCCACCTGGGAGAGGGAGAGGAGAGGGGTGAGAGACTGTCCCATCTGGAGGGAGCTCTGTGACCCTGCAGCGTGTGGACTCACGTCGTAGGTGACCTCCTCGCCCAGGTCCTTCTCCATCAGGAAGATCTTGCTGACCTGCTCGCAGGGGCCCTGCAGGACGCGCACGGCCAGAGGGTGGTCTGTAGACTTCAGCTCCTGCCGCTCTGGAGCAAGCAGAGGGGGCAAGACACTGAGACTCGCCAGCCCAGACCCCAAATCCCACACACCCCCCGAGACCCCGAACCCCACACACCCAGACCCTGAACCCCACACACCCCCAGACCCTGAACCCCACACACACCCCGAGACAGTGAACCCCACACACCCCTGAGAGGTTAAACCCCACACACCCCCCAGGACATTGACCCCTACTGCTCCTCAGACACTGACCCCACACACCACCTAAGAGGCTAAACTCCACACACCCCCGGGACCCTGACCCTTGAAAAACCCAAACAGACACCCAGACACACACGCTGATACACACTCAGACACACACGCTGATACACACACCCCAAGGCACACCAAGGTGATGACTGAGGGTGGTGACGGTGCTCTTACCCCCGCTGGTGTGCACCAGGTACAGTGAGAACTCGTCGGGGGAATTCTCGATCTGCAGGAGGGAGACACAGAGAGAGGCTTGTGGCAGGCTGGTCTCTGAAGGGGCCGTGATAGCAGCAGACTCGCCACCAGAGGCCACAAAAACTTCGATCACTTGTATATTTCACCGCTAGTCATTATATGAATGGTGAGGGTAGGTTACATACTTGCACATGGGTGTTAATCAGGGATGTGTTTTAGGAGTGGCTGGGATTTGGGAAGCAGTTGGCGTATAAACTGCTAAGACTTAGTAACAGAGAGAGGGCTTCTCTTGAGGGCAGGACCAGATATTAATTATATGGAAAGGTCTGTGAGACCACATAGTGTAGAACATGTGCAATTTCATTTGCTAAGATCCCTGGGGCTATCTTTTTGAAGGGCGGGGGGGGGGGTCTCTCACAGTTTTATATAATCTGCACTGCGCCCTGCACAGGATCAGACCAGCTGTGCGCCCCCTTGTCAGAGTAAGGAACACGCAGGCTCCACACAGACATGATCCAAGACGGAAAAGTTCTGTAGCCCTCTCCATTAGCAGCAGGCTCTTATTCCCAACAGCTTGGAGCTTGCAAATAAAATCGCTTGCAGGGAGCGGCTCAGAGCTCAGGACTGAGCTCCAGGGAAGAGCACGTCAACTGAATTCTCTGGTAATGAGCAATCAGTGAAGTCAGTGGCGTTCAGCGCGTTTCCTAAAAATGTTGTGGAATCATGCTCATCAGGAAACGGAATAACCAGAGGACTGGCGACAGTGGCGAACATCCTACGCAGGGAGCAGTCTGTGAGGAGACTCCTGGTAGGCAGCGCAGAGCCCAGTGGATTGATCTTGCTCACCTTGAACTTGTTGAGGAGCAGCCTTAGGATCTGCGGCGTCGTCATGGTGCTGTTGATCCGCACGTTGGTCACGGAGCCAAACGCAGGCGTGAAGACAGACGTCTGTGGGAGAGAGCAGCCTGGGGTGAACTTGGGCTCGACAAGGTCCTCACTTGTGTGACAAAACTCACATTCTATTCAATCCCTTTGTCTTGCAATCTCTTTAGAACCATAACTACCGCTACTGCTTTGAAGCCAAATTCCCCGTTCCCTTTTTTCCCCGCATGTGGAATGAACAGATACTTTCTGTGGTGCTCCCAGTAAACGTGGGGATGGCAGTGACTCTGGGTCTGCGCCCATGTGTAAGGGGGAGGGGCAGCCTCTGGACATTGCGAGAAGCTGAAAGGTGATTGGTTGTCCAGGTGGAGGGTGAGGAGCCTGTCTATCCCCAGCCCAGCCAATCAGGTTTCGGCCCCTAGCCAGCTCCCCAGTACCACCCAGCTGGTGCTGGAGGCCCACACGCCTGCAGGCATCTCTTGACAGGGCGAGCTTACAGGCTTTGCTCTTTCAATGAAAGCCAAAAAGGCCGCTAACCACAGCCCACTCCACCCCAGCACCCCCTGCTTGTGCACACGTGTGTGTGACGAGCCCGTTGCTGTGGAGACCAGCCCTGCCTTGTGGTTGTAGTAGTGGCCGTTGATGGAGAACCGGTGGCGTCTGAGTCGCCGCTGGTCGCTGGGCGTCCGTCTCTTCCCTCTGCGCCACACCCCTGCGTCGCTCTTCGTCCGGAGCAGCTGGGGGGAGTCCTCCTCGTCTTCATCACCTGGGCGGCAACGGACAGGAGGGGGTTGGGAGAGCAGGAAGGGTGGAGGGGAGGGCAGATTGAAACGTTAACCGGAATGATTAGTTAGCAGGATAAATTAGTAGTGAGAAGCCAATGATGCAACAATCTCATCCAGCTGTTTCTCAGCAAACTGACCTCAACAAACATGGGTGGGCAGCTTGTTCCACACCCCCACCACTCTTTGTGTAAATAAATGCCTCCTGTGTGGATTGGAGGACTAATTCAGTTTCTTCTTGGGGTAGCTACTTCAATAACACGGCTGCGTATTTAAACTCCCACCACCACTCGAACTTAAGAACGATACTGTGGGGAAGAACTAGTGCCTTGATTTTAATTCAAGTCAATTCAATTCAAGGTGCTTAATTGGCATGACCAACGAGTAAAATCAGTGTTCCAAAGCAAAACAAGCACAATTAACATAAAACATTCCTGGGAGGGTTCAGGTTCACTGCTCCTCAGGCTGTGACAGGAGATCACATACTGGGCTGCCAGTTCAACTGCGTTCCCTCCCCCCTCTCCCAGTAGGAGTGGGAGCTGTTATTAACTGTTAGTTTAAACCCACTATGTGACCAAGGGACAACTTAAATCTGCTCTGTATACAATCTGAGGTGACACAACCACCGGGTGTACACTTGTGACAGACTCCTCTCCACGCAGTGCTCTCTCATGTCATTCCACGGTGCTGCCCGTTCGATACAGAGCCATGAGGCTGCTCTTCCGTTTCGCCACAGTCCTACCTGCCTCGCCCTCCTCCTTCATCACAGCGCTGCCGTCTGATTGGTCATCGGCTTCGGTCACCTGGATGGCCGGCGGGGCCAGCTGGGAGCCCTCTTTGCTGAACACAAAGAGGAGGGGGGAGCGAGGAGAGAAAGAAGGAGAAAACTGCATTCATCTGTACTGGAACGAGCGATGGGACACTTCCTCACTGTATTCTAAACAGGAAACTGGTAGGACAGTTTAACGGAATGAAGCAACATGGTCTGCGAGAGATTGGCAAAACGCATCCTTATTGTTTTCAGTTTTACAGTCATCAGTTTTTGATACAATCAACAGATTTGAAGCTTGGAGCTCCAAACCCCACGATCGGAGGTACTCGGTTCCTCTCGGAGCAGAGGCTCCAGGAGACCACAGGAGGGCGCTATGTCACCGTGTCACAGAGGGGAGCCCTGGCCGAACAACCCCGCCCCGCCAGCTGCGCCCCCTCCTGGGCAATTCGAATCACAGCCTCCACAAAGCGACATGACTCGGGCTCAAACCAGAGATCCCAGAGCTCAACTGGGGACCCATTCTTTTACTTGTGTAAACTCTCCTAATTTTGGAAGAGAATTGTTCAATCAAAGCCTACAGCTACAGAGTCACACGGCCTGCGTCTCACTCCAAGCTGCACATATAGCGCCTTACAAGAGGGCATGCCTCTCACTGGCCATGCTGCACACTGACGTCCCCAGCCCGAGGATACCCCTGTGCTGAGAGGCTTGCAGCAAGTGAGACAGACTGTATTTTTAGATACGTGTTGGTCAGGATAACTGAGATCCAGCCAGTTTTTTTATGTAAAACCACATGTGATCATCACTTAGTCCTGTGAGTGCGTAGGAACAGACAGGATCCAGATAAGAAGTAAACTGAATCCTCACCTGGCACGTTCGGCCAGCTTCCCACTATTGCATTTTATCCTAATCGGCAGTGTACATGCTCCCAAAGTCAAAGGACCGAGGAGGAGGAGGAGGAGTCCCGGGTTCGAGCCTCACCTCTGAGCATCCAGAGTGCAGCCTGAGTGCCAGGAGGTGGAGGAGGGGGGAGGTCTGATTCGCTCGTTGTCGTCCTGCATCTGCAGCCTGATGGGCCGGCGGAGACCCCAGGAGATGTTGAGCAGCCCCTCCACTATGAGCTCGCCTTCCTCCTGCCCACAGACACAAGACACGGTGAGGCGCGTCAGTCCTGGAGGGACTGTCATTCCCTGCGCCCACCACTAGAGGGCACCAAACAGGGCCTCACAGACAAGGAACGAGGTCACCTGGGTGTCACGTCACTGTATTATTGAATAAGGTCCAGCACACATTCTCACATGGGCTTAACGTGGGAGATCATGGGCAGTTAGTGGAGTCTGTGTGTTTAAGGGTGTTTCAATGTGCACTGGGGAGTGTTGTAGAGCTTCAAGGAAAGAATCTGGATGCCTGGAGTATTTGTTTTGTCGTAAAACTGTGGGATGACGGTAGCCACTCTCCCCAGAACCGTTTTTTTGGATATTATTTGGAAGAAGAGAGGAACGTTTTCTTTCTTCTAAACAATCAGTTCTTTTCTTCTTTCAAATGAAAGCTAGGAAACATCCTAGACTGTGTTTTGTGGGTGAAAGTTCTCTGAGCCGCGCTACCAGAAAGGGTTAAATGACAACGCACAAGGAAGCTACAACAAAAAGGATTTGTTGTGCTTCTGTCTGCAGGTTTGGCTTCTCTCCCAAACAGGAGAGGAATCCAAGC